GCAGTGACGTGCCTGTGCCAGAGCCCCTTTCTGGTTCGTGTTAATTCTGCATATTTCCCCAAACCTTACCTAATAGGTGTCATGGAAGCTGGCTGTGTGTCGGCTAAATAGTGTGGTCCAATTTATTTGTAATCATGTGCATGCATGAGTCTAAAGCAGGGAAGTCTTTTCAGTGACCATGGCCCTTTACCGTTCCCCCTGGGTTTTTTAGTTTTATATGGTCATTTAAAACAATTGGTAACAAAACTGAATGGTTTAAACTGGAAATAATTGACCTTAAGGTTGTAAAAATAAGCTGTTACCCAGAAGTGTGTGACACTTTTTTTCCAAACATTTTTTCCTATACTTTAATAATAAACAGGGGTAGAAATAAAATATTTGAATTTTTTTAGAACATGAACCATATACATAAAATAACAAAATTAAGGGCTTTATTTAAAAATATTTTTAAAAAATAGTTAACTTCAGAGCTTTTCTCTGAACGGTCTATTGACTGTCAAATACAAAAAATATGATATACATTGACACAAAAATATAACTTTTAATTGCTTCATAGAGATTGAAATGGCTTAAATATTTGTAAGCACTAGAGAAATAACAGCCTGCCTTTTTTTAAACTACATCAAGGAAAAAGTAAAAGTCTCTCCCTGTGGGGTCATCTAACAGGATTGGACAAAGCTCTGGAGAGCAATCCTGCACTCAGTAGTAGTAGTAGTAAGTATTAGGTAATAGGTATTTTTCCATCCTATATAACTATAAATATGGAGACCATCCTTAGGAACTATAATAGTTTCCTTTCATATGAATGCTGTGTCTTTTTTTTTAATTAGTAAAAAAAAAAACCCAACTTTTTACCCCCTCTCCACATCAAATTTTAATTTCGCATACACAAGTTGCTAAATTTTAGTTTCTGCATTAAAAAGACAGGGTATTTGAATTGTCAGCACCATCCTAGAGTTGGTAAAGACAGGTGTGTGTGTGTGTGTGTGTGCGCGCGCGCGCGTGTGAGAGTGAGAAGCTATAACAAAGGTTTAGTAGTTTTTGCAGTACGCTATTTGAAAAGTTTTCACAAAAGCAATATTACACTTCATAATTATAAGACTGACCTGCCAATTTTCTTCAGTAAACTTCTGTTTTCATCATGCACCTCTCACCGTCTTGAGGTTTTCCATTTCTTTGAAAGCTTTGTTCAAGATGTGAAACTTGGAGCATGTTCTGAAGCTGTCAAGAGTAAAATTCCTTTGCAAAAGAAATCTGAGAGTGTTGCCAAGCTATGGGATCTGTTTAGAAAAGGTTCAGCTTCTTTCCTTCAAGTGTATATAGTGTATATCTAGCATTAAATGAGGCAGCCTGTTTACACAAAACAATCTCGCTATGGCAGCATGGGCCATAGTGTGCTGGCTAATTTGCCCTGCCAAATCGTGGTGCGTCTCTAAATGGAACAGCTCCTATCTAGCTCAGATTATCCCATTTCTGTAAATAAGTTTTTTGGGGGGTTTTTTTTTTTTCAGTTTTGGTACTTAGAAAACCTGAAGCTGCTAAAGTTAACACCAGCACAATGCGCTCATTAGCTTGCATCTCCTCCAGGTTGGGAGGAAATGCTGTCATGTGAACTG